GTAGGTAGGTAGGTAGGTAGATAGATAGATAGATAGATAGATAGATAGATAGATAGATAGATAGATAGATAGATAGATAGATGAAAATGTCATAGGTTAAAACTGCCATATCATAATGGAGCTTCAGTTTAGTCAAGAATATCCTGGGGGCTTCAGCCTGTCATAAAAACTTTCTCATTAATTTATAATGTAAAACATATAGTAAGAATTGTAAAATATGCATTCGTTTTGATGTAATATTTATTTTGATAACATTAATATTGCCCTGAAGACTTAATGGAAGTTTTAACCATTGAATGCTATCTTCTGAAATTGCATCTATACATTTAGGCATACTGAATTCAACTTATTGATATATTTTGAGAAAGATATAAACCCAAATGTTTAATAGAGTCTGTATATCATTCCCAAGATAATTTTTAAAAACACAAAGATGTATATAAAGTTAGGGACTAAGTGATTTTAAGCTGGAAATGATCACATGTTGAGTCATACAGTTTATATCCACTGTTTTTCTGTTTGCAGTTGCAACTTGTTAAAACCTATTTTACCTTTAGAAACAACATAATTCCATTTATGGTGTAATTTGAGATTTTTTGATAATTTCAGAACCTCTGGGATTTCTGGAAAGAATGCAGAACACAGCTGTTTCACACGAAGTTTGTTGTTTTAGTTGCTGCTTTGTTTTTTGTTTTTTGTTTTTCCAATCTCCTCTTCAGTATGATTTGTAGGGCAGTCCAAATTCTTCTACTGTATGAAATGTTGGAAGAAGCGCATTGGATGATGTATGCTCATTTCCATAAGTGCTACCTCATCCATGTTGTGTTCATTGAAGCATATTGCTATGCTTACCTGACCCTGATGTCTCTGGTTTCTTCTAGCTTGTTAATGTATCATGACTCATGCTCACAAAGCATTTGTCCTGCGGCTCTGGAGCAACATTGCTTCTATTATCTAACCTGACGCATAGGGCAATGCATGTCAACCATGAAATGGTTATAATTTCATTTCATTTGATTTGAAACAAAAATGCAGGAGTAAGCTTAGTAACTTCTTGTATTGAGAGATGTGCAGTTTGTGAATGCCGTTTCTGTGCAAGATGTTTGGAGCAGCAAATGGGACATTCCCTGCCTCCCACATCTGAAAGAGACCAACCAGTAAACAGATTTGTTTAGGGACTCTTGAATATTTGCTTGCTTTGTTTTGAATTTAATTGACTTATTTTATCCATAGAATTTGGATTTCCAGAGGATAATGTGGGAGTCACTTTGTGTGAAATGGGCAGCTATATACATGTGACATATAAATAAATAAACCCACATGCATACTCATGCTACATACACGTCTGCTGCATATGCAAAGGCAAAGGCATTCATATGATCTAGCACTTTTAACATAATAATGAAAACCATTGTTGTACTGTAGTGATGCAAGCTCCTCCCTGTCATGATGCAGGCTCCAGCCCAATACAAATACAAAAGTGTTGAGGTTGTGTAACATTAACACAATGCTGCTTCCATCATTTGGCTTCTCTTGAAGGATGCTTCTGTGCACAGAAATAAATATATATTTTTGCTACGTATAGAATAGATTCTAGAGAAAAGTCCCTAAGCGTTTGCTATAATTGAGAAATTGTAAGTTTTATGATGATGTTTTCAAGTTTTTATCTGAACCAAAATAAATTTGAACCCAATGAATCTAAATAACAAGAATGTCCAGAATACTTTTCCCTTTTACTTTTGCAAAAAGCAGGCGTTTTTTATTATCATTTGTAGTCTTCCATCTAGTTAGAATGTCAGGACATTGTGGAATAAAGTAGAGATCAGTTTAACTATATCTATACAGTCTGGATATTTAATGGGAACATGCAGCAACAGAGATTTTGCTGTGCTCTGATATAACAGTAGCATGATGCAAATCCACAGGAGAATCACAAGACAGCTTTCTAACTCAGATAGACAAGAAGGGAGTATCCTAGCAACAACACAGAAACCACGTGATGAATCTCAGAACCATTTTTCTGCCTTGATCAGGTTTTATTCCCCTTGAAATCTAAGGGGACGTAAAACAGAGAATTCACCTCCTTCTCAACAGAGTTTGCAATGGATTGATTAATATACAGAGGAAAGTAATGTAGAAATGATATGGATAAAATCATGCTGCATCAACTATAACCCAGAAATCTTAAATCAGAGTGGTATATTCAAATTATATCAAGAAAAAAACCTGCTCCCTTCATTTTATTAATAAAAAGGTTCCAAGACTTCTTTTCAGAATTTAAACACCTAGGCAAGGGAGGAAAATAAGAAAAGAGAGGCTGATACTGCTACTTGATCCAGAGCTGTAGAAAATTGCTTCCAAGAATATAACTTGCGTATATTTGTATTCACACATTAAGCTAACCATTTGTTGTTGTTTTTTTGTTTTGGCTTGGCTTGATATACAAATCCAGCCATGAATTAATTAACTATGCTTTATGCTTTTCCAAAAAGCCATTACAGTATTTAAAAAACAGTGGTTTAGTACTATGTATGAAACCAGCAATAGTTTAGTGGTTTAATTCAGCTGATATTTTTCATTACACTTTCCTCTTTATATTAAAAATGATCAGATTCATTTTAGCATAAACTTCCATAGACAACATTAGATGCACCCAATATTATCCTCAGCAGGTTCGCATGCAAATACACACCGATACAGAGTTGATAAAATGATGGCAAATAGCCCAAAAATTTCACATAAAACATAAACATACATGACTGCTAATTTGTACAAGATAAGGTTTTTCAAGGTTAAAATTTATGTAGAATTGCCACATATTATACTATACTATTTTCTCCTTTCCTAATTATTTAGCTGCCTCAGACAAATCAGGCTACCACTTAAGATGTTTTCTTCCTCGTTTCAAGATCTGTTGATCTAATTTTTAAAAACGTGCTGTATATATTAAATGCAGTGTATTCATTCATTCACATGTTTTGTGGTGCAGCAATCTAATCTAAGCCTTTGATAAAGGCCATTGAAGAACTACAGTGGCATTGGAAATCTCATTGCAGTTCAGTGACTGATATCGTATCTGCATCAATACTCATGCCACTTTTCATTTCATTTTATTTTTGAATCTTTCACTGACCTGAAATAATATCATACATACAGGCTTCTCCTTCGTGAATTACAGAACAGCAGTTTGTTTTATTTTTTATGCAGACAGTGTCCAGTTACTCCTTTGTATGCATACACGTTAAGCTTCAAATACATATAGTACAGTGTATTAAATTAAAATAAATGAACATTGCCAGTTTTTCTGAGATAAATTCTGTAAGACAAGTTTTTTGCTTTGTTAACAAAATCCCAGTGAAGTGTCTTCCTAAAAAAATAATACAGGTAGTCCTCGTTTAGCGACTTCCTCATTTAGCAACCATTAGCAGTTCTGACAGTGATAAAAAAGTAAGTTTATTAACAATCCTCACATTTATGACCTTCACAGGTCTGTAAAGCAAAGGTAAGCTGAAGTAAGATTGTAAGCACAGTTGCAGTTTCACTTAGTGACCGCTTTGCTTAACGACTGAGTTCTTGGTCTCAGTTGTGGTCACTAAACAAGGACCACCTGTAATTGCATTCATTAAAAAAACAGATCTCTCATAGTGAAAGAAAAAAGGTTTTATAATGTCCAGAAAATGGTCCAGTCTCCACTGATTGCATATATCTTGGCTTTTAATTTTTAAAACAGAAGAAACTGTTTCCTTTAGCTATTTCTGGTTAGTTTTCTGTATTGTGCTTTAAAAAAGAATGGAATTGCTAGGAAAGTAGTTGGCAACATAGGAACCAGCAGTTCCAGGCTTGAGAGGACTGCCATGTCAGCATACTTAGCTGCCCCCGGTGGCCTTGAAGAGAGCAGTAAAAATGGCCATTGACTTGGAAGGGCAGAAGAAAATAGCCTAGAATTTAAACCTTTATGTAGGCTTTGATCTCTGTATACACAGTAGGCAATTTTTCTGTTGTATAAAATAACTAAACTAGCTAAGTTATGTCTGTGAGCCTCCCGCTGAGTAAGCAAACTCCTGAGTTCAGTGTCTGACAGCAATATACAAAAGGAGACCTTTGAGAGATTGTCTTTTAACTTTAGATTAATCTAGCAGGCAGAATTAATTATTATTAAAGCTTCTAGGCTATCTCTCCACAGTTCTGCTTCTGTTATCTTTCTTTGTGAGAAGGGATTCCAGATTTTTTCACAAATCTGCATATATAAACCCTAGCTTATCAAAGTTAGAAAGAAAATGGGGTTTGTTAGTCACTATTACTTTATTGCAGTGGGGCTTGTAATTCGTAATCTTAGTTTTCCAAAATATTTAGGCAAATGTTAGGCATCCTGATTTATTTAAATTTAAATATATATATTTTAATAT